TGACTGCTTCTCTACGTACAGCACATGCTGTGTCCTAAAAGTGGCAAAATGTGATTAATCTGCTTCTATCAACGTGGCTCAGCTTCGCAGAGGGAGCTCCCATTGCCTTGTGAGATCCAACTTCCCGTCCAAGGTTTTGTTTTAAAACGTGGTGCGCCACCGTTAGCTGCTTTCCACCATTCATTCTTCTGTGAGAGTGCCCAGCTGTGGCTATGGCTCACATACACATTTCCCTTAAGAACCAGAATCTGTATTTGCTATTAAATTCTTCTGAAATTCTATGGCTGCACTGCTTTGGAGCTGCTTTTAGCACAAAATCAGGCCGTAATCTCTCTTGTCTTTGCTTTCAAACCATCATGAAACTGGAATAACTGTTATTTTCTTGTTTGATAGTGAAAGTTTGCTTAATGACTTATGCATGAATTACCCAAAGGTCACAGTGATTCTTACACTATTAATTCTAAATAACATTTAAAATGTGTGTTCTTTTCCTAATGATGAAATTACTTCAGAAACCATAATGAAATCATTTCTAAATACAGTCCTTTAAAACTAATTTCAAAAAGCACTGGCATATGACCAAAGTCCATAATTACAGATTTTAAATTGAGGCTATATACTGAAGTAAATAGCTATGAAGTCAGTCCAATAAACCTACCAAAATATAAAGCAAAATCCTGAGAAGTTAAACTACAGCTGTTTCTAACGGGCTTATGACCACTTTTCAAAACTTTTTTTTAGCAGTAGAAGACAAAATGCCCAAGCACCTAGAAAATACACCTACCCCTGCCAAAATTCTGGTTCTTAGATGCTTATTATGAGATTCTTCACAAGCACACTGACTAACTTCCATTAAATTCAAGGGGAATTAGGTACCAGCGGACTTCCCATTTTAGGATTCCTAAATTCCATAGATAACTGTATACACTATGGGATGTGAAAAAGCCTCTTGCATGAGCTAGTCATGCTTCCAAGCCACTATTCCCACGGTCTCATCTTGTCCACCATAGTCCAGAATATAAGCTGTCAAAACCCTTACTGTACTCCCATCTCATCAAGAAGATGCTGTAAGTTTCTATAGCCCAAGATTTTTTTTCTGAAATTGGCTCTTAGCTCCAAATTTGGGCCAAGACATTTAAATCCTGGCAGTAGCAAGGTATATAAAACTCCTTCCTTCATTGTTCAAGAAGATGCAGAAGTGTCACACTCCCGCCACTAACCATATTAGAGTACGGGCTCGAGGCTTTGCAGACACAGGTTGGGAGGACAGGGAATAGGACGTGGGTTTCCACATATCTCTAGGGTGGCTGTGGACACCTCCACCCCTCCTCCTGAGACAACAGGTTAGTTAACATTAGGAGAAGTTAAGTCCCGAGCAAGAGATGACTTAGACACCTGCCTGCGGGCTGCTGGGAAGCAAGTCCCTGACACAAACAGCCAGATCCCCTCCGCTGGCATTTTCTACGACTAGCGAGGTGGGTTCCCTCTGGAAGTACCAGGTGGCCTCGGGGGGACCCCGGTTTAGGCAGCGGGCTCTCCAAGAAGAGTCCCCGGAGAACGCCTGGGGCTGCGACTCCACCGGGTTGCAGCCCTGCTGATACTGCGGCTCTGTCCCCCCGGGACAGAGAAAACACTGAAGAAGTTTTCATGATATGGCGGAAGACTGAAAAATACTTCTGATTAAATAGCATATTTTACTTAAGACAGATGCTGCAGTGCTTTCAAAAAGCAGGAAATGTAAGTACATAGGTAACACAAATGTGACCGATGATGGCAATTTAGCATTCCAAATAATATAGGGAAAATTGCTGTATATTCATTTTCTTTTATGTCTACATTTTCTGTGGGCACATTTCTTACTATCTCCCTGTGTTTTTTTTTTTATCTAGAAGCCATTTCTGTTAACATAAAATGTCATTTATCCATTTCTTGCTGATGAATCAAAGCCTCCTAAGTACTGTGCATTTTATCTGCTCCTTCTTGAAGCAGTCACACTCATCTAATGTAGCACAGGGCTGGCACCTAGGTGCTAATGAAGGCATGCACACATGATAATTAACAAGGTTCCTGTTAAATATTTATTAGGGTTGAGAAATGGAAGGCAGAGAGAGGACAAAACGCTGTTTGACATTACCTGAATTTGCTCGAAGGGTACTTCAAAGCTGAACGACTCATTGTAGTAGGGATTCAGGGTGTTCTTCTTAATTGTCGTCTTTTTCTTCTTCAGCCTCTTGCCATTCTGCATCAGGTGGATTTTCACATAGGGATCTAGAGAATCACAGAGGAGAGCAAGGGCTAAGAAAGGTAGCACTCTGCATGTTTTCAACAGATTTTCATCTCCCAGATTTGATGAAAGAGAAAAGGAAAGAAATATCTCCAGCTACAAACACCTCATATTTACACAAAGGCTTCATCTCCTTTACCTGAAATGTGGAGAAAGAAAATAACTCCTGAAACATTGCAAAGTGCTCCTGGTGGAATAAGCACAGGCTTTTATTGCACTGTCTCCTTAGCAGCAGGAAGGAGGGGTAAATTCCCACCTGGTTTTATTCTCTACTTCAGGAGTTGTACTGGAAATGTTCTCCTTAAATGTTATTTACTTATTGGAAAAGTTTCTTTGCAACAGGGCCTGGTGCCGTGGGGTAGTTTTCCTTAAGTGCCCCGATTGCTGCTGAAAGGGAGTGCGTGGCAATGTGGGCACGGAGCTGTCAGGCACCTCTTCCCATTGCCCTCCTGAGAGGATGCGGCTGTTTTTTCCCATTCTTTCACCTTCCCAGTGGGTTGTGACCGACAAGCGGAGTATCCATTAGTCTGGCATGCGGCCAGATTGCATTTAAGGACTTTGTCCCTTAAATATCCATTCTGTGTCTTAGCGCTACAAGGAGCTAGAATAAGGTTCAGGCCGCAATATCCATATAAATTATGAATTGTTTTTGCAACTCTCTACTGACTTCCCATCGTTATTTTGTGTAACTTCTGGCAGCCAAGTAACAGAGCTGACTTTTAGTTCCTCATCAAATATTTCTCATGCAAGCAAAATTCTCATTGAGGTTGCTGCTGTCAGGTGACACCTCAGTGGTTACACTTTAAAGGGAAAGTTTGCCCGCTTAGAAAAATAGAGGTATCAGTCTTTAACCTGGTACAGGAACCACGTTTCTATTTAGAGAATAAACTTGCAGCTCCTCTGCCATGGCGGTGTGAATTAGCTGTACTGGCACTGAGCTCAGGCACCTTATTTTGTCTAGGTTTATCCTGAGGCTCTGCTGGAAGAGATGGAGGCTCATCTTCTCCAACAACCAGCATGTTACACCCAAATCTGGGCAGGCTGCCTCTCTTGGCTTTAGGGAGCTGAGCTGTGATGAGGGTCTAAAGGAGCCTTCCCTCAAGCGCGGTGGAGGGAGTCACACAAACTCCTGCCAGCCAGAAGTCATTTGTCATGCAAACTGAGAGAACCTGGATGCAGGCACCTTTTTTTTTTTTTAACAGTGAGGGTGACAGAGCACTGGCACAGGCTGCCCAGAGAGGTTGTGGAGTCTCCTTCTCTGGAGATCTTCAAAACCCGCTTGGATGCAGTCCTGTGCCACGTGCTTTAGGTGTCCCTGCGTATGCAGGGGGGTTGGACTAGATGATCTCTAGAGGTCCCTTCCAACCCTAAGCATTCTATGATTCTATGATTCTATGATTCAAAGGATGGCGTATGGGAGAAAGACAAAAGAACACTGAAATTAGATATTATCACTAAACACACCATCCTTTAGGACCGTCCAACAAAATTCATGCTTGGAGTATCTGAAAAGAACTGCTTTGGGCTACAGTCAAAATATCCCTGACCATGAAAGCCCCAGGAGTTCAGAGCAGCCACGTTACTGGAGCGACTTGCTCGCAGTCTGCAGTACCTACAAAGGGAGCATAACTTTGGTGGTGGGTACTCTTGGACGCAGTCAAAGGTGTAAGAAGATCCAAAGAAGAAAACGGACAAATTGTGACTTAGACATGGACACATATTTTAGCAGTGAGAGTACTTAGCCACTGAAATAGCTTCTCAGTGCTTGTGGTGAACTGTCTGTTGCAGAGAGTCAAGGCTTCTCTATTCCCAAAAGTTCAGATACAAATATTTAAGTTCAAGGACAAATTAAACCTGGGTAGTTCCAAGCTCTAGACAGGTCCCTTTTGGCTACTCAGTCTATGAATTAAGGACTATTATGGGAAGAGTGTCAGTGCTATCAGAAAAGCAAAAGTTCTATTTCCTCTTGAATACTGGGCTCAACATCACTGCTAATTGGGTTTTGAAGGTGAAAAACTGGGAAGATCTTGAGTTCCTCAACATTAGTCCGTATGAGGGAACTCAGTGATCTCATCACTTTTGCAGAGGTTCTGAGCTGAATGCACAACTGTACTCTTATACCAATAAAGGACATTTTTGGTATTGATCATAAATAGTAAGAAAATTGATCAGTCAAGAAGCCTGTGGTAGCGTATTAAGATATGGAAATGAGATATGATGTTGTTATATTATAACTTGAAGAACTGCAATGAGCTGGGAGTCTAATCAGTGCAGTCATCTGTTGTTATTATTAAGGGTAATAGAATTGAAGAATAGTATTGAAATTAATTTAGTAGATACAAGAAAACACGGATCTCTGTATGCACATAGACCATATACACAAACTGGATATTTATTCATATGCCCATAGAGAACTCTATAGTAATGGTTTATAGCAGTGAAGATATATGTTAATATTTATATAAACATGCCATATTTTAGAGAAAACTATTTTTAACCTGTTGTTAACCAAGTGTATATGAAGCTTGGGAACTGCTTGAACTTAAAATGATTTGCTTCCACTGCCTTTAATAGATTTTCGATTTTCACAGTGGCATTAGAGCAAAATCTGGCCCTGGATATCTGGATGTCTGGGTACCA